AAGGAACGAGTGTTATTGTTAGTGGTGAAGTTATCATTTAACATCTTTATAAACAACACAAATAACGGACACCAAAATTATCGCAGCCCACTGCACACAGTTTGATGTGTTTGCCGACTGTCAAGACTTCCTTTACTACTGAAAACACATTAAAATCGTCAGCGAGTTAGTTTCAACAGGCTCTTTAAAGTTCGGTGTCAGCTTGAAACACTTCGTTGTTTTTGCTAAACCCTGACTACAGCTTTTAAGAACAAAATAAGACTCATCTCTTTTGTTTTTGTTTGAAAAACAGATCGTGATAACTATATATTACAGGCGTGATAATTACGGAAGAATTAGCAAATAAAATAACCGCTTCAAAGTACTTGAACTGATGAGATGGCCATGACGTTTTCGTGCGATTTCCCTTTAGTATACCCTAATTGAGTGCTAATTGTTGTAAACATACGCTTAGTCATTAAGTAGGGCATATACACCTGATTGCAATGAGCATGTCTTAGAAAAATGGTAAAGGGAGAAATGAATAGAAGAAAAAAACAAATAGGAATTAATTAGGCCTTCAAATAAATCTAGAAAGGGGTCAGAAAGGGAGCATTCAGTTGCTGTAATAGGCGTTTTGGGGGCATAGAAGCGAAGACACTACGCGTAGGTTGAAAATAAATTCACCATATAGTGGTTTAATGGTTAAAGCCTAATTAATTTCGATTTGTTTTGCATTTTTAATTTCAATTCCTTTTAGCTGATTTAACTATGACAACGCTATTAGGTGTGTATATATCTCTTAATTTCTGGGAAGGAGTGATGGCTCAAGCTTATATTAAACTTGAGTTATTGGAATTTCCTTCAAATTTCTGCGATGCCAGTTGCCAATGCGCCGCCAACATAAGACCTAAAAAGTTATTAAAATCATCCGTGAGTTTCACCTGTGACATAACACCTAGCTCATCATAGTTCGGTCAGTTAGATTGAAGAAATACCGAGACAACTTTGCTCGACCTTTCTTGGCCCTGTGAGCTTTTTTTCTTTTACGTTTAGTTAATAGTTTTTGCACGTTTATGACTCTATAAATTACTTCTGATCATTATTTATTAATACGCGACAAATTAACGTATATAGCCCGTTCAGGTAAATTGTTTTAACTGTAGAGATGTCGACATTATATCAGCTTTCACCCACATTAAAATAGTGTGTATAAATAAAACTCTCACTTGCAGGTCAATCCGCCGAAGAGGAAAATGGCCCTGGAAAATTTTACTGAAGACGAAAACCATAAAACTGTCCAAAAACTGTTCTGCTCTGCTGAATTTGTAGCGGTGTGGAGAGTGAGCTTATATTCCTTTTAGCTCTTAATATTTTTCTTTCCGTCACTGCGTTTCTGGGGAACACTCTGATCCTAGTTGCTCTTCACAAGAAGCTGCTGCTGCTGCTGCTGCTCCTCCTCCTCCTCCTTTTAATTATGGAACTTGAATAACTTGTTACTCGATACAAAGCCTGTCAAACCAGTTAAACCACTTAAAAGTGGTACATGACCTTATCTTAATGAGATTTCCCCGCTTTTTATTCATGAGATAAAGACAAAAGGCTATAATGATGTCATCAGCGTTAATGTTTTCAATAATGAGATTTCATTTCCAAAAAACTGAAACTCTTTAATTTCATCCCTAGTAAATTTTTATCACTTCTTTCTTGGTGTAAACTCAGAATAAGTAACATTAGCATGCAAATGAAAGATATTAAAAGTGCATCGACGTTTACAGCCAGCAGTTTCTGAGCATTCAACATATTAACATAAATAAAATTGCCTCTCTGATACTGGTAAAAGCATCTCTTTAATGATTAACACATCCTACAGCTCGCCCTCCCCAGAGCCCCGCGAACTTTATGCGATTGCCTAGTCTCCAGGCTCATTAGTCCGCGGGGCCAACGTAAACGAAAACGCATACTAGTAAGAAGGCCTGGGACGTAGGCAATTCAAGTTCTGCTGTACACGTATTTGTTGTGTATAAGATGTGGTAACACAGTTGTTTTAGTAAACTACTATTGGTATTGAATACACAATAACATTTTGCATTTTGCCAAACAGGTCACAAAAGAAAGTTTGTAGCATATGTCAGAGGGCATTCGTTTTTGTTTACGAAAAAATGTTTCCTTTGGCGTGAAAGCAAATCCACACGACCACATTTAAATGTTTTGTAAAAAAGTTCTACCATCGTACTATGTAATATACCCGAAAAACCTAGCTTTATTATGATAGGGTACAAGAACTTTATCGGTAAGCACTAACTGTTAAATAATGCTTAACCACTTGGACAAACGACCGCGAAGTAAAGCCGGATCTTGGTACGGTGTTGATCAGGATCAGTAATGAGAAGTAATAAATCAAAAACGAGTGCGAGTGTTTGACCGGGGTATCCAGACACCGGGAAACAGATGAAAGCACGAGGCCGTAGGCCGAGTGCTTTTATTTTTTTTTTGTTTTGTTAAATTTTTCACGAATGGGAGATAAATAGAAAAGACAAAGTTCCTGTACTTGATGCTGGTGGCGCTTTTTAAGATTATGGAGATTTGTACAAAGTTCAGTCGTCGAGTACAGATTTGGCAAATATGGATGCCAACACTTTAAACTACTGGCTGAGTAAATTTGTCCAGGAGGATGCGAATAGTGAAGGGAAGGTGTATGAAATTTATTGTGGCATCCGAAGGCATTTAGAAGAAACTG